CTTCTGCTTCTCTCCCGTTTAAGTTTCAAAACTTCTCTTAAAATGTTTCTCTGTGAAATTTGGGGGGGGGGGGGTACTTACTCAAAAGAAGGGTAATTCTAACTTTTTCTATTTCTTTTTCTAAATCTTCTCTATGGGAACATATTCTAACTACTCTTAATAGTACTGAGAATGGGATGTTCTTCATTACGTGGGGAGGGTGTGCTGAATTGAAGGGTAAAATATAAGGCTGAGCGGCTAACTTTCTATAGACTTTAGTTCTAAAGTTGGGAGCTTCTACTTCTATCCTTACATCTAAATAGTCTACATGTGGACCTGTCTCAAAGGTTAATCCTATGTTCTTATCTTTCTTACCTAATTCTACTAATATCTTATCCATCTCATCTCTACTCTTCTTAGTGCTGATAAATATGTAGTCTCTAAATCTAAAATATAATTCTCCTTCTTTATCCTGCTCTAACTTAAATTGTTTTTCCCATTTTCTCATATAAACATCCGCTAAGACTTGGGTACATTCTGAGCCCATGGGTCCTCCTCTTCTCTGCTTATAATGCTTAACCTTCTCTCCTGGTAACTGAAGGGCAAAATATGCATTTTCTAAGACGTGTCTAAACAGGGTTCTAACTGTGTTAATAGGGATTTCTCCATTTACCTTATTTATCTTATTCTCATCTAACATCTCACAAACGGCTAAGATTGATTCTTGTTGGGGAATCATAGTATATAAATCTGCAATGTCAAAGGTATATAAAAGAGTCTGGTCTGTAGTTCCTTGTTTTTTTATTTCTTTTACAAAGTCTATGCTATTTCTCAAACTATATGGAGTTAATTTATCAAAAATGGGACGGATAATTTGATCTAGAAAAGCCGAGATTTTTTGTGTTGGTGATTTCATTCCCGAAACAATTGGTCTAAGTGGTTCTCCTACCTTATGGTCTTTTGGGTTATAATAAAGATGGGGTAACTCGGCATCTTGTGGATTCGGTTTTAATTTTTCAAAATATTTCCCGGGTAATAATTTTCTATTTACTAAACTTCTTAACAACTCTTCTGTCTTTTCTATCATACTACTTAGGGGGGATTCTTCTATCTCTAAGTATGCATCTGTCTTCTTCGTATATGCGATGGGCTTTTCTATATATGTATCAGGCTTATCTACGTGAAATACTTTGGATTTATCTGTTTGTCTGGAAATAACCTTTCCCTTTTTTTGTTCCTTTTGAAATCGTTCTAAAGTTTTCTCAACTAATGGGTCCTGAACTGCTGCTTTGCCTATCTTATTTCTCAATTCTTTTTCTAATCTCAGGGCAAACTCTTCGACTTTCTTTGGGTTTCTACCTATTGTCTTAGTTTCTCTTCTCCAGGCTTCGGCTACCTTATCTTTCATTGTTCTAATCTCATCTTTTAATCTGTCTAAGGCTTGTTTGAGATTCTCAGGTACAAACTTGGGTCCATAATTTAAAATTCTTCTTTCCTCATCTGTTAGTCCTAATACCTTATTATTAACTTGGGGTGGAAAACCTAAGGGAGTATAGTGGGGGTGTAGATTCTTAGCTTTACTATTTCTTTCTACTGCTCTTGCTATTTTTCTATCATTCCTTTGGCCTTTTTCTCTAAAAAATTCAACTTTTTTTGTACTTTTTTATTATTTCTTATTTCTAAAATATGTACTAAATCGTTGTATGCTGTTCTTATTTCTATTGGTATCTTCTCAACTAAATCTAAATGTTCTTTTTCACTTTTATCTATTTCTGTTACCTTAGCTATTCTCATTATTGATGTTAGGTCTAACTTAGTCTTACGAATAATATTATTCCATTGCTCACTATATTGGTCTATAATTTCTTTATTTAATTCCTTACTTCTAAACTGTAATCTATCTAGGTGTGGGTGTGGATGTGTGGGGTGTGGGTGTGGGTGTGATGGGTGTGGGGTGTGGGTGGGAGTGGGGTGTGGGGGTGGGGGTGGGTGTGGGGGTGGGGGTGGGTTTGGGTGGAGGGGGTGTGTGGGTGTCAGTTTAAGACTTCACTTACCTCACACCCTCACCAGCATAAACATCCACACCCACACACCCCGCACCCCACCCACATCCACACCCACACCCACACCCACACCCATCACACCCACACCCACACCCCACACATCCACACCCACACCTAGNTAAAGTCTTTCCAGCGAACATATTTAACAGTAAAATATTTGTTTTCGTCATATTTTTTGTGACATTCTCATCGTATCTCGAAATTCTCCGAGAGTAAAAGTATGAAAAGATATGATCAGAGATTCTTTTAGAACAGAAATATCTCATAGAATAACATATCTCAGCTCATTCTGAGATGTAAGACAAAATAATATTCGATTTCAAATAGAGGGGGTTGAGCAACTTGACTGATACCCCGAAATTGATTTATCGATATCACTTCATCTACGCATTAGAAAAATCTGATTTTTTTACCAGTTATACTACATATATAATGTTATTCATCTATCACTAGCTGAAATCTATAGAACGCTAGAAATGAGAATTATTAAGTACATTTTTTTATTTGTTGTGCCAAACGTGCTTCACATCGTATTTGTTTACATCTTATGGTCGGTATATATGTTATCCATTCTATTCTACCGACATATTCAAATCAAGTCGTTCTTGTTCTAGCTGTGATTTTATTTTCTCTTTCTCTATTCTTCATTTTCTCTAACACACTTTCTATCGAATAACAAACACATAGCACACTTGGACTATGTTTTCTCCACAAATTGAATGGCATTGTGCCCAATGTGAATCTGATCCAACCGATCGTCGAAAATATTGTAATGATTGCGATTCGATGCTTACTTGGACATGTACTGGTTCGGGAAAATCTGGTTTGTACACGAATTATTATCGTCATCGTGATAATTGTAATTATTGTACACCAGAACTTGAAGAAGAAAGACAAGAACAAATGGAAGAGAATCAAGTTGCTATTCAGCAACGCTTTCAAACTTTAGATGATAGTAAGTAACATCAACTTTTTGTGATTTATGCATGCATCTTTACCTCATTATCTACTTCTACATTAGTAGTCAAAAATGAATCATTATGAGCTACTTTTTTATATATTCTAGATCAGCGTCCATGGTCAGAATGGAAACATACTGATGTTTCTTGCATACAGCATACTGGGCATGACGTTGAACAAGTACAGGAATTATATTCTATGTGTGAAGAACCATTGATAAATTACTGTTCTCATAGAGACAAGCTACTTGCAAACAGTACCACCACATCCCATTTATCTCCTATGAATTTGCTTGTGGTTACATTATGGTATTTAAAACATTATCATACTGAACGCTACATTGCTTCAGAATTGAATTTTAGTCAACGAACGGTGAATTATTTCTTGTCAGCAGTAGTGGATATTTTACATTCGTGTGTATATCCAGCATTCATCTCTTTACCTACTGATCTGGCTAGCAGAAGAACACCACATGGACCTCAACAACATCATAAACTAATTGTTGACTCAACTTTTATTGCAATTCATGAACCGCAAGATTCAGAACACCGTAAAAAATATTATCATGCAAAAAGTCCAACAAATTATGCGATAAAAGTGCAGGTAGCATGCGATTTTCGTCATCGAATAGTACATGTATCTGAATGTTACCATGGAAGTATACATGATATTACAGTTCTTCGAGAATCAGGACTATTAGAACATGTTGAAGAATCTGTACAAATTATTGGTGACAAAGGATATTACGGTGAAGAATATGTAGTCACTCCAAGAAAGAAACCTCGTGGACGTGAATTAACACAAGAAGATAAAGATTTCAATCGTGATATTAATAGCGCAAGAGCAGCGATTGAAAATATTAATCAACGTCTCAAAACTTATGCTATTTTTGGTGGTGTTTACAGAGGACCTGTTGATGATTTTCATAAAATAACTAAAATCATACAAGTCGTTGCTGCTTTATGCAATTTGAACTTAAATAAACATCCTATTCGTAGATAAACAAAATGATAAGTGATATCTTCTTATTAATCGTTCATGAAGCTATATACTCACCTTCGGTTTTGTTTCAAACCTTTTAGTATGAATGGTGCAGGTTAACATAGATGATATAAGCATGATTAGCACAGTAAATAAAAAAGATATACTTAATAATTCTCATTTCTAGCGCTCTATAGATTTCAGCTAGTGATAGATGAATAGCATTATATATGTAGTATAACTGGTAAAAAATTCAGATTTTTCTAATGCGTAGATGAAGTCATATCGATAAATTAATTTCGGGGTATCAGTCAAGTTGCTCAACCCCAGAGGAATAAACCGATGAAATATTATTATAATTACTCATATACATATATGAGTAATGATAAATAGTTCGATTCCGTCTAACCATATCTTTGGCTTCTTCTTCAAATAGCGCACATCATGTAAGATAGCATGTAAAGGAATATCTATGTATTATTACAAAATTCTTGAGATCTACTATAATTACTATAATGAAAATTATAGACATGAGATATCCGCATGACTATATGTAGTGAGGCTATACTAGGACTATGACACTTCCGAAATAGTTCCGAACTGATCAACTGCTCAAACCGTTCAGTTCAGCTCAAGCAAACTACTCGAAATTTCAGCTGAGCTCCCAGGACTGAAAATATAGCTCATATAGGATTACCCTTAGTAACCAAACTCCCCTGTATTCGAGGTACTCTTAGTACCTCAAGTGCTGTATATTAGAAGTAGCCTTAGTACCTCAAGTCCTCTATATTAGGGGGAACCCTGATACAAAGCAATTAAGGTCCAAACGGTACTCCTAACACAGAGGAGTTGGGGTCCCAAGGGTACCCCAAAAATGTAGTACTTGAGGTGCTCAAGGTATCCCTGATATACAATACATGAGGTACTAAGGTAGCCCCTAGTATATAGAAGTCAAGGTACCAAGGGTACCCATAATATAGAGGCCTTGAGTTTCTTAAGGTACCCCTAATGTAGAGGACTTGACTTCCCTAGGGTACCCCTAATATAGAGAACTTGAGTTACTAAGTGCACCTCTCATATATAGGACTTAAGGTCATAAGGGTACCCGTAATGTTTGGGACTTGATGTGCGAAGGGTACCCCTAATTCATAAGAGATTTGCTCGGTTCTCGTAGCTGAGCTGAGCTGAACCGTTTTAACAGTTCTCCCGAACTGAACCTAACTTTTCGAACAGTTCATCCGTCCGTTTCAGCCTGGTTCCTGAGCTGGAGTTGTTGTAGTTCTAGGCTATTGAGCCGAACTTTTAATGGAGAGATAATATGGTCGTTGATTCAGCATCATATGAATTTGTGACATGTTTCATGTATAGTGAGATTCTCTTTTCATGTCTTTTGTCGTGATGAGATCTACTTCTTTAGACACTTACAAGAAACAATTTCGAGAAATATTGAGCAGTAGTTTAGTCGAAATCGACTCGGGAAATCAAAATCGTACAGAATCATTAACTCCTACAGTAGTCATTGACGGAAAGTTGTTTGTTTTATATTTGATTAAGTAATCATCTGGTATGCTGACTATTGATGAAATCTGTTTTTATTCAATATTATGTTTAGATCTACGTTGTTTCACTTAGAAAAAGAAAAAGATGATGCGATTTATCTTAATAATGATGCTTGTACCTGCACTAATCAGTGCTGAACGTGATGGAGGGCAGCGTGGTCAGCAAAGACGTGGTCAACGGGACGATGGTCGAAATAGAGGCTCTGATTTCGGCAATAGAAGATCTAAATGTGGCGATTTGTTTGATCAAACGTTTCAAATTAAAATAGACTTCAGTAGTGCTTATGTTTTCGAATTAATTCTTATTAATGAAGATGGCACAGTTGATATCATTGACAATACACAAGAAGGTGTCGTTATAGCACAGGGATTCCCTAATCAAGGATTTACATCTGGACTTGGAAGATGGACATGTGTTGGAAGAAACCGCATTGAAATCCGCTCTGGTGGTTATAATTATGCCAATGCCGCCATTAATGCTTCAAGCACACTATTCTTCAATAAGTATCTTTTAGAGTTCGATAATAATTGTGAACATGTGCACGGAACAGTGAAAGCCGTTAATTATCCACTTGGTGCTTATCCAATGGATCGCAGCGCACAGCCAATACCTGGTCAAACAACTGAATCAACCAATGTTCAAGGTCGGCGATTTCGGTATTTTTAAACGGTAGATGAAGAAAACAAGATTTTCAACAGCTGAAAAACAAACTTGAACACGTTGCCACCTTTTTTCTCTTCCTCTATATTTTACTCATTTTTTCTTCAAAAATAAATAGATAGATCCTTCTTTCGATAATTTCCACTAGAGATACGGTGGGGTGTGGGTGTGGGGTGTAGATGCGGGTGTGGCATAGCTGTCACAATACCTTTGATATTCCGATGTTGCTGACAATTATCTTATCAAGTGGCACTGGCATCAGCTTGAGAGATTGAAGGGAAAGCCCAAATCAAAGCACGACACTAAAGTTCTACCGAGTAAAACTCGATAGAAACACTTGCGAAAATGGGTGGATGTGGGTGTGTTTATTAATAGGTTCTTAGTCGAATCAATCAAAAAGCTACCAAGACGCGCTTCGACCAGAGCTAAAGTGGTCAATTATCAATTGCTTAATGACATAGAGTTGTTAAGAACAAATTTCTTACTATGACATATAAAAGTCGAAAGTTTTTTAAAGAGAAAAACTCCCAAAGCTAATAATATGCATAATGAACTAAAATTCGAAAGTTTTTATTCAAGACGACTTTCAAATAATAGCTAAGAGAATCTCTAACAATAGGAAGCAGAGGTCGAACCAAACCACTAGGACTGCCTGCCTGCCTGTCACAGGCACATTCCACGTTTTTTAGGCCTGGCCTATGACTGGCAGGCCAGGCAGGCCGTTTAAAACACCAGGGCGCCTGACCTGTCTATATTCTTTATTAATATAGCTTTTTTTTCAATATACATTTTTTAAAACAAATTGAGGGTAATGCTAGCGATCGGGAGAAGTATAGAATAATGTTCTGCTTTCATGGTGATTGATCGAGGGGATGACTAATTTTCAGCTCAAATCGTTGAGTTCCTCTTCTTTATCTATTCGCTCTTCATATTCTCATTTCTCTATATTTTTTTTATTATTGATTGTTGTTAAAATCTTTCTTATCGATTATTGTTGAGATATTTATTATTGACTGTAAAAGTCATTATTGTTTTTGTTAAACTTATTTGTTAGCAATTCAATTGTCTTTCTTTGTGAAATGGATGATATTGATCTTTCATTTTTCGTCTCTATTGATGATCCTTCACCTCGTTCAAAAGTAAAACAAACTACATGTTTCTATTCTATCATCGTGATGGTCAAGGTGTGCGCGTGACATCCATCCTTACACTATTCGAAAAATTGTCTTGCATTGTATTTCACAAAATGAGACTTATCCGATGTAAAGCACGATTGTATAAGTTAATCTCTGTGTTGTCAGGTGCCAAACTCGTGAATCCAGAATTTAAATCTCAAAATCCTGTAAAACTCAGAAAAATCTCGAAAGAATCATGCAAAAATCGAGAAAAATCGAGAAAAACCTAGAAGAAATCCCAAAAAAAGTCTTGATAAATCCTTAAAAATTCCGACAAATTCAGAGAAATACTTGAAAAAGTCCTGAAAAAGCGCATCATCATCAAAAAATCCAAAAAATTTAGAAAAAATTCTGAAAATCCAGAAAGAATCCCACAAAAATCTCGAAAAAACTTTCAAATCCGGAAGACCTGGCAACACTAGCTACTCACCCAGCATTTTTGGAAATAGGATTTTATAAGTTATTACTCTCGTCCCCAATTTTTGGATGCTTGCGACACCCTTGGTAATGGTATTGGCATAAAAGAAAAATAGACAGGCCTTTCCAGGCAGGCAGGCTAGGCCAAACAAATAAGTTGTCAGGCACAGGCAGACTTGGAATTCAGAGGCCTGTCGTAGGTCGGCCAGGCCTGCAAAAATGCAGCCTGGTTGGACCTCTGATAGGGAGTGTTTAAACACAGGCTGAAGCACATGAATTCATACAAAATAGAATTCGTCAAAGATCCATTTATAAATAATTCTAAAATTGGTAAAATTGTTGTATTATTATTATTTAATTTCAATTTAAAATTTATATTAATTTTAACCAAATGAAATTATACAGTACTATCTCATACGATTGTTTTCTGAAAAGATCAACGTGTTTTTCATTAATTTCCAATTTGTAAATATGTCTATTGACTATCTAAGAATATGAGATTAACCATTGTTAATAATGATAAAAATACTATATAAACATGATACAACCTGACGTCCAGATTACAATTGTTTGGCATAAAAGAAATGGCATCAACAATAAGGACACCTTGGACATAAGCTGAAGCTTTTTAATTTAGGCATATGTCAGATACAAGTACAAAAAATACAAAAAACAACAAAACAAGACGACAGAAAACTGTGATACTAAAAAATTGTTTTTATTTTTATTTTTGTTGTTGTCGTCGTAAATAATAACTAAAATACAAAACGAAAAATGGGATGGAGTATCTCTTTCTTTATTCTCAACTTATTCTCAACTCATTCTAAGCTCTCTACTAAGGCCTTAATCGCTGACTTTGACGGTTTCTTACGGACTAATATACTCTTTACATTATCTGTTAAGCTATGAGCAAAAATGACAGGGATATTGCTAAGCGGTGTTTTCTCAAAGATCTCTTTCCAATTTGGTGAAATCTTGACCCGAAACGTGCTAAATTTGGTGTATATGTAAAGTGGAGTAGAATATCCTTATTAAAGTTAATCCCGGGGTTTTCTTTCTTATTCCATGCTGGGTCTAAGACTTTATCTCTATATACTCATTATATCTCTCACTCAAGAGTAATTTGGGTTCCCTCTCTCCCGTTAAAGTCTCAAAAACCCTTCGAAAATGTCTATCTATAAAGTTTTTTTTTTGGGGGGTGGGGTACTGATACATTCTGATCCCATGGGTCCCCCTCTAATTTGCGTATAATATTTAACTTTCTCTCCTGGTAACTGTAGGGCAAAATACGCATTTTCTAAGATATGTCTAAAGAGGGTTCATATCGTATTGATGGAGATCTCTCCATTAACCTTATTTATCTTATTCTCGCGTAACATCTCACAAACTGCTAAGATAGATTCCTGTTGGGGTATCATTGTATATAAATCTGTTATATCGAATGTACATACAAGGGTCTGGTCTGCAGTTTCAATTTTTTTCAATTCCTTTAGAATTTCTATACTATTTCTCAAACTGTATGGGGTAAATTTATCAAAAATGTGTTTAATAATTTGATCAAGAAAAGCCGAGATTTTTTGCTTTGGTGATTTCATTCCCGAAACGATTGGTCAAAGTGGTTCTCCTACCTTATGATCTTTTGGGTTATACTAAAGATGGGGTAACTCGGCATTCATTAGATTTGGTTTTCAACTTCTCAAAGTATTTCCCAGGTAATAACTTTCTATTGACTAAATCCCTTAACAACTGTTCTGTCTTTTCTATCATACTATATAATGGGGATTCTTCTATTTCTTGGTAAGCATCTGCCTTTTTCATATAAGCTATCGATTTCTCAATATATGTCTCAGGCCTGTCAACATGGAATACTTTGGATTTATCTATTTTTCTGAAAATTATCTTACCCTGTTTTTGTTCCTTTTTAAATCGTTCTAAGGTTTTCTCTACTAATGGGTCCTGTGCTGCTCCCTCACTAATCTTACTTCTTAGTTCTTCTTCTAGTCTCTGGGCACATTCTTCAACTTTCTTTGGGTTTCTACCTATTGTCTTAGTTTCTCTTCTACAAGCTTCAGCTACCTTATCTTTCATTGTTTTAATCTCATCTTCTAATCTGTCTAAGGCCTGTTTGGGATTCTCGGGTACAAATTTGGATCCATAATCTAAAATTCTTCTCTCTTCGTCCCCTAAACTTAATACTTTATTATTTACTTGAGGTGGGAATTCAAGTGGGGTATAATGGAGGTGCAAATTCTAAACCTTACTATTTCTTTCTATCCTTCTAGCTATTTTTCTATTATTCTTTGTGCTTTTCTCTCTAAAAAAATTCAACTTCTTCTGTACTCGTCTATCGTGCCTTATCTGTATTGTACTTATTAAATCCTTATATGCTGCCCATATTAGAAGGTGACAAGTTCAGCTTTTAGTTCCGAACTGATGAACTGTTCAAATCATTCACTAACACGAACTGAACTATTCGAAAAGTTCCGTTCAGTAAACTGAACTTTTTTGAACAGTTCTTTTTCAACGAACTAATTATCACAAAAAGACACACAGGTCATCTGCAGGATTTTCATAGGTCTTTAACAGTTCTCCTATATGGATATTCTTGGATTCTCAGGTCCTACTATATAGAGATATCCATAGATCCCCAAGTGCCATAATTGTTATGATCGAAGTGTTCCCCTTCAATCATAAGACGGAACGAATAACGAATAACAAACACTCCTTTCTAGTACAGTGGTAATACAGCTGCCCGGAAAGAAGAAGACGTGGGTTCGATTCCCTCGGGAGGAGTATTCTTTTGTTCCGTTCTGTTGTCATGCCATCACGTTGCTGTCTCGGTGATAACAATGAGTAATAATATGAGAGTGAAATAAAGAGAATAGAAATAAAGACATAACAATAATATTGAAATGTTCATCTGCCCTCAAATTCCGTTATATAGGGTATCCATAGCCCTTCAAGGCCTCGCGTAAAGGGCACTTATAGGCTCCCAAAGTCTAGTATCTACGCATATCCGTAAGTCCTCTAAATCTATTTCGTATAAGTCCTGGAAGGTCCTCAGATCTTATCATATACATATCGATAAATCTTCAAGGTCTATCATAGAGGAATGTACATAGGTCCCCGACAGCTATTCTAAATGATGCTTGAAAGATTATCAACCCAAACAACATGGTTGTTCATTGTGTCCTGAAAGAGAAAAGGGACATGCGTTGCTGTATACCACTAACCATTGAAATGACTTGTTGTATCAGGCATCATTATTGTTTAAGAAAGCTTTATTGACTCATGCGAAATTTGTGAGAACGCCAATTGTACAACATGCATCGAGTAGCTTTAAATGTGCTGACTAACACCAGATTAGTGGACGTTTAAAGTCCTATAGTGGAGTTTTGTTTTAGGAAGAACGGGGTGTTCTTATTTACTAGGTATATTGGAGCTGCATAGTCCAATGTGTTTATTAATCGGTTACTGGTATGTGGTGCTAACATCTTATTAAAATTTTGGTAAAGTTTAGGGTATATTTTCGAAGAAGTCACATGAACAACGAAATGTGCAGATGATTCAGGCTGTGTGAACTAGAACTGACTCAGAACTTAATTGATGGTGGTGTGAAAACGTTTGACCACTGCCTTTCGATAGTCATGACAGAAGGACAATATAAAAACTTTGATGCAGGACTTCTATCGAATATGAATAATAGTCAGCATTAAAAAAAGGTACAATCTAAAACCGATATTCTCTATGTATGTCATTTCAATTACCATAATTTACTAGCTCTTTTTATTTAGATAACATTCAATGTTCATCTAAACACTATTCTAATATCAGAATCCAAATAACCTACGGATGCTTCCACAGAATATACATTCAGAGCATTCCAGTGTCCCTAGGATACCCTTTAAGAATCTATATACACCTCTACAGAATAGTCCTTGAGAACCTATGGCTACCACCATGGGATAGTACTCGAGGACCCAGGGGTACTCTAACAGATCGTCCTTGAAAACCCAATGTTACTTCATGAAATAAAATCTATTTCAACTATAAGCTCAGTCAATTTGGAACAAACTTGAACGAATCAGTTCTTTTAAAAAGAACTGTTTGATCAGTTCAGTTCTTTTGAAATGAACTGTTTGAAACGTTCAGTTCATTCAAAAGAGCTGTTCGAAAAGGTTCAGTTCGTTCAGGGTGTGGGTCTGGATGCGGGTATGGGTGAGGGTATGACTGTGGCTGTGTCTTTCTCGATCTTAACCCACACCCACACCCACCCACACCCACCCACACCCACACCCACACCCACGCCCACACACCCACACCCACTCCCACACCCACACCCTCCCACACACACCCACCCACCACATCCACACCCCACACCCACCC